TTCAAAAATTTTTCTAAAAGAATTTCCAAACTGATTTCTATTGGAGATATAGTACGCATTGGTTCTGATAATTTGAAGCGTCGTCAATGGCCAATAGCACAAGTTGTCAAAGTCATACCTGGAAAAGATGGTACTGTGAGAATTGCAAAATTGAAAATAAAATCCGGCATCGTCACAAGACTATACACCGTGCTTATACTTTAGAACTATCAGATGATCTTCAAGGTCCTGATTTGAGAGGCAAAGCCCTTAGTAATTATAAGACAAAGACTAAAATTGATAACTCCAAAAGTTATGTTCCACTAGAAGGACAATCAGAATCCTCACCTCAAGTAACAGTCACTCGTAGTGGACAAATTATGAAACCTGTTCATAGACTGCAGTTGTGGCATGTGTGACAGTAGGTTTTCCTCCAGAACTCAAGGTGGGAGGATGTAGCTGCTGACAAACTGAAATGGACTGATGACTAAAATCAAAATCGGAGAGACTTGAAGTCAGAACGAGAACAAAGTTCTTTTTTAACTACATAACTTAATAAAGTATTAATACTACTAACTTAATAAAGTATGTTTGTATTGTGAAATGAAGCCTCCCATTTTTCTACTGGATTAGTTCATTTTAATCTGCATTCCTTCCCCTTTTCAGACTGGATTTTTAGAGTGCTTCTGTCAAGCTGCTCACCACAAAAAAGATGAAAGGGTATGTTTTACCTTTTAACATATTTTACTGATGCTCTTAAGCCAAAGTTTAAACAATACAGAACAATTTGTCTTTACATTAGGAGTCAAAACCTATTTAACAAAGCACTTTCATTTCTAGATTTCTAGCTGAACGTTAGCATATGGCTAATCCCTTAAGTTAATAAATCCCTTAACTTCAATAGTTACAAAAATATAAAAGTTAGACCTCATAAAAATTAAAATTCAGCAAACTGTCAACACTACCAATGTTGACTGCTGCTAGATCCCATGATGCATTCTGGATTTCTCTTTTATCCATGATCATATTTTTGTTTCTATTTCTAAATGCATGGAAACTTGCTTTGCTTATTGCTAGCATCAGTTGTAACTGGTCATGAGATATGTGGCACTATTTGATTGCACATTATTATCAAGCTATATATAATAATTTGTTATTTTAGTTTATAAATCATGAGCTAAAATATTCAAGTTTTCTGCCACTTCTGAAATTAGCCAGCTGTAAATCAGCTATACCAAAATAACTGCAAAGCAAGCTACTGACTTCTTTGTTAATAAATTGTAAAATTATAAAAACAATGCTTCAATGAGTTTAATGGAGAATATCCATTCCTAATGCAAGACTTTTAATGCTGAATAATATTGTCTGCTTAAAAAAGTCATAGAGATGAATTTTGAGAAAAAGCCATCAATCAATTAGAAATCCATGCAGTTATAATAAAGCTATTGGAGAAGAGACAGCATAATAAGCCTATTAGTCTAACATACAGAAAACATGCAAATGAAACATTTACTAACTATCACTACCAATCTATTATCTATCTTAACATCTTATCACAGTGAAGAAATTATCAATTTTTGACATTTTACATTTGCCAGCTTTCCAAATAAAATTCTATAAACATATAATACTATTTTATGGGATTAATGAATCAAATTCCAGCATTCTCTTTTTCTCATATTAAAATATCATAGCCCCATCCTTCTACCAGAAAACTAGCACAGAATCTTGTACATTTTAAATACATAAAGCTTAAGTTTCATGTGATCTCAGAATAATAAGCAGTTTCACATGAAAACATAATTTTAATATTAAACTTATTATGAAAGTAAAAATTATTATATCACACAAAAACGGAATACAGTCTATAATGAATTACAACTTTTTTTTTCTGAAGCTGAAATTCCAGAGTATAATATTTCTTACTTTTCTGTTAAAGCCATATTACTTGGTGGTATTTTTTGTTTTGGCATATTTCTTTGGTGACAGTTGTTACAAATTTGATTTGGCTTCTTTCCTCACTATAGTTGTCGTTATATTAATTGTTTGTAAGAGTATATGTTTCATGTAATGTCCTTTGTTTTTTCTTTCTTTGTAATAACAAAGGATTTTTTAATTTGAAATTTTCCACGAGATAAAAAAGCACCTATCATGTTTCTTCAAGACAGAGATGTTCTTCACAAAGAAAGATTACCTCCCCTTAGGCAGATAGATATGCTTTGTCATAATTTATCAAACCAGCCGACTTGCTTTTTCATATGTCAAAGGTTGACACACATTGTTCATCTATCCTGTTTAATCTCAGGAAAGATCCACTAAATATTACGTTATTCACTTACATCCCATATCTCCACGAAGTGGTAATCCATCCAGTGTAGAATTCTGCTGTATCTACAGCTTTTAAGACCCAACATATAGAAAGTTCATTCTATATAATAATATACAAAAAAAACATGCATTTATTAGAAAAATTTCCTTTCCAGCTTTAATTTGAATTTTTTTTTCATTACAGTGAAATTCCAAAAATATTTATGTTGAATATATTCATCAGATTACAAAAAGATGTATGTTTTTAAACCACACAACAAAATATGAAAAAAAAGGGGGGAAAGGAAAAAAAAAAAAAACAGGGAAGGGATAAGAATTTTATCAGGTTAGGTTTGTAACTGATTTTAAAGTACTAAATTTAACAATGTTTAACTTAGCAGAAATAAGATCTGAAAATATGTTCCTTGCAAATGCTGTGCTTTTGGCTATTATGTCATTACCACATTAGCTCTTTTAAACTTTTGATCAATGTTACTACAGTTCTGACATGCAACACATGTACCTAAATTTCATTATTAATTTTTAATTTTTTTTCCAGAAATACAAAAAACACAGATGAGAATCAACAACATTAAAATGAGTAAATAAAAAGACATACATCATGCCCTATCAAATGTCTAACACAAATTACTGACACAGAATGATGACAATCCAGAACAATACCTTTCTTTATAAAAACTAAGCTTCTTTCCGTCAGCAAATATGTCAGTCTGCCCTTATAATATTAACATTCCTTTTAAGCATAAGAAGTCTGGCTGAATTAAAGAGACATATGGCAGATAGGTTTATAAACAACAGTGGTAGCCTTTTTACCAAGAAATCAGCCGTGTTATTTGTGTACATATATACCACAATGAATAGGTCTGGTTGGTTTGTAGTTTTTAATATGGGAAAGCACATAAGGAATTACCTGCGTAAGGAAAGGGATGCCATTGTGAAGGACTTTCTAATCACAATTGGTAGGAACCCATTGTAAGACCACTTCAGCATTAACTGCTTTATGATGGTCTTACAGTGCAAAATATGAGGAATAAAAAGTACACTTACTATTAGAAATGGCCTGTGAAAGTGTATGCTAAATATGACAGGATCACAGTTTTAGTGAATCCATGTTGATGAATGTGTAATTGTTAAAGAGCTGCTAAAGGACTCTCAATGTCATCATTAATTTGCATACTTGCCAACCTATGACACTCAAAAATCAGGAGATTTTTTTAAGAAATCGGGAGATTTTTCACAATGTTAAAAAGACTTTTTAAATGATGAAAATATAGTTTTTAATAATGAATTAACTTTAAATAGTAACCAATTCTTAAATGCAAGCAACACAAAATACCTTACACATAAAAAACATTTTTATTACTTGCATCGATTAAGAAAAAAGGAAACCACTTTAATTAGTTTTCGTACAAATGTTATAAACAGTGGCAGATTTTGCTTTCTTTAAGAAAGAAACTTCATAATTTTGTTCGTAGTAATTGCCACGTAGGCCTGCTTTTCTAATGTGTCATCACTAATATTAGATTCAAATTTAGTCCTCGTTTTCGCAACAATACTGAAAATTTTCTCACACTCTGCATTATTATGGGGAACTGTCAAGATGGCCAACATAATTCTAGACAGCTCACTATATTTTAAAATTCCATCAGCAGACATTTTGCATTAGCAACTTTTTGGTCCTCTGTTTCCGAAGAAAAATTTTATTTTTCGTTTTTTTCAACACAACTCATGTTGTCCTTGTGTTTCTGTGTACGCACATGTTTGAGAACATCCGCCCTTCCACCACGCGAAATCGAAAAATCGCAACGACAGGCAGTACACATCACAAATTTATTACATTTCCTTGAGGAAATAATGGAAAGAAAGTCAACTGTGTACGATTTTTGAAACGTACACGAGTATTTCACCTTCCTGGCAGACATAACAAAAGATGATAATTTCTAAAACTATTTCCCTAAGGCACGTATACTCAAACAACTCAGGACAAAATGACCGAAATAACTAAAGAACATCCAAATAACAGCTTGCTTTGTCCTCATTGGCTAATTAATATATGCCAGATGACACGTAGTGGAGCACGATGCCCCACTGGAGAACGACGTTTCTGGATATGTATATGCTCTGCTCTCACTTACAAAGCAGAAGTTATCTAATTCGCAATGTTTTGTTTTAGATATAACCTAGAGAAAATTCAATTGCTTTCAGACTGCCAAAATCACTTTTTTATATATATATATATATATATATATATATATATATATATATATATATATATATATATAACAAGTATTAAGCCAAGTTCCATAAAAATCGTGAGAAATTTTAAGAATAAGAAAAAGTCGGGAGAAATATATTGTAAATCGGGTTGGCGGGAGAGCGGTCGAAAATCGGGAGTCTCCCGCCTAAATCGGGAGAGTTGGCAACTCTGAATTTGATATGAAAATGTACTTTTTTAAATCAAATATGTTTTTTCCTGCTTCAATTTTTACAGTCAATATTTGCTTTAAATAATAAAAAAAATACAATTTGAGATATTTTTACGCGATCTCTGTGGTAATGATTTTGACACAGTTCTTTAATTTCAAAAATAAACTACAAATTCAAACTTCAATACATTTCCTAACATTTTTAATAAACACCTACGAGTATATAAATTACTAAAAGAATAAGTAATATTAGATTAAATTAACAACCTCGTGGTGGAACATTGTCAACTATTGATGCTGAACCTAATGCACCAGAATCACGAACAAAGCCATCATCACTGCACTGAGCTGTACCACCACTGGAACAACCTTCACCACACCTCGTACGCAGTCTGTTAAAATTTAAAAATAATTTAAATTTCCAATAAAAAAAGCATAAATAATTTTTAAAAGGATTAAAAACATTCTATGACCTTAAAATTATTTTAGAAAATATTTCACCATTAAAAAAATAATAAAATGTACTGCTCAATAATCTTTACAGCTGAACTGAAAAAAAAGTGTACAAAAATATACACTGCTGCTTTCAAAAGAATTTCAATTTTGAAAGCAGCAGTGTATATTTTTGTACACTTTTTTTTTAAACAAGAAATTTCATAAATAGGGATATATCAAATAATGAATAATATACTATTGCTGGGAATGAACAGAAAAAGTATATACACCAAAGGGCCATTACATTATGACCACACTGTTATTAACATGTAGGACCGCCTTTAGCCCTCAAAACTGCCAGCACCTGGCCTGGTATTGACTCCATAAGGTGCTGATGGGTAGTCTGAGGGATCTGGTACCAAGCACTCATCAATTGGGCCTGCAATTCCTGAACATTGCAAAGGGGTAGCGTTGCAGCACGAATTTGGTTTCCGAGGTGGGACCACAAATGCTCTATTGGATTAATGTCAGGTGAATTTTGAGGCCAAGATATGACTTGAAGTCACTGGAATGTTCCTCAAACTACTCCCTTACGATTTGACCCTTATGACATGGTGCATTATTCTGTTGGTAAACACCATCCTCTGCCAGAAATACTGTTGTTTTGAATGGGTGAATCTGGCCTGCAACAATGTTCACATAGCACACAGATGTAAGGGATTGTTTTATGGGAATTATGGGTCCTAATGTGCTCCACGAAAACATTGCCCACACCATAATATCCCGCCATCAGCTTGTCTGTCCAACTGTGCATCTGGGAGCCACGGTTTAATTTGGCTATTGGCGTAATAACACATGCCCATCAATGTGATGAACCAGAAAACATGGTTCATCGGACCATAAAACTTTCTTCCATTCTTCTAATGTCCAATTCTGATGTTTTTTGGCCTACTGGAGATGCAGCTGGTAATGATGTGCAGTCAGTGCAGGGACATGCTTTGCCCTCCAGCTGCGCAGGCACATACGCAGCAATATACGGTGCACAGTGTGCTGAGAAACACTGTTTGGGTCACCACTGTTGTAGCTGGAGGTTATTTTGGCTGTTGTAGCTCTTAGGTCACGGTGAACAATGTGTAGCTATCTCTGCACTCCTCTGGAATCAACGTGCCGTCGACAACACATTGTTGGCCGGAGACTTGTTATTTGACCATCCATATACCACTTTCAATATGTGCTCACAACGACTGCACGTGAACAGCCCACTAAATGCACTGTTTCCGATATTTTTCCCAGTTGCCAAGCCATAATGATTTGACTTTTATCGAAGTCTGATAAATCAGCTGTTTTTCCAATTATGTCGCTAATCGCACTATGTTTGGAAAGACAATTGTTGACACCAGAGGCGCCAGCTGTGAAAAATATGTAATATTTGTGTTCTAAAATGATGACGCTGATGTTTTTATAGTGCCACCTGGCGGCCACTTGCATTGAGTTTGAGTGTGTTCTGAGACGCCGCCAAGAGATGTGAACTAATAATGCGGCTTTTTGAGTAATTAATAAATTTTAGTATACAGTCCATTTTTGAGTTTTTGTGTAAACTGATTTATTTAATTATGAGTTTTACTGAGCTATTGATGGGCCCATTGTTGGTCCTTACCGAGCTGGAGTTTGAATTGTGTTTCAAAGTCGGAAGACAAGTGTTGTGGAAGGAAAACTAGCGGATTACTCTTAAATAGAAGGTAAGTGGCTTTAATTGTAATGACTGTGTAACTGAAAAAGTAGATTCAAAATGTTTAAAAGTGCAAAAAAAGAAGATTATCAGCGTATTGCTGTAGAGCTAAATTTAGACATTTCAGAAATGAAAGCTATATCAGATTTAACTGATATAATTAAAAACAGTGGAAGATATAAGAAGGATCCTGTATTAGTTGAAAGTATAGCTAATAATATTATCGACAAAAGGAAAAGTGACGAGAGCCGATTGCTCGAACTTGAGAAATTGAAAATGGAACAAGCGAAATCGGAGCTAGAACTCGCGAAGTTGCGAGCAGAATCAAAGAGTGAAAACCTCATAGAATATGAGAAAAGAGAAAATGTAGAATCTCTTGACTCTCTTATTAAAAGTATACGCGCATTAACAACTAAAATTCCAATTAGACCGGAAGGTTTGGGTTATTTCTTTTCATCGTTAGAAAGGGCATTCATTTCAAAAAGTGTTCCAGAGAAACTTAAATCGAAAATTCCTCTAAATTTGTTGAGAGATAAAGCCACAAATGTTATTACCTATATTAAAGACGATGAATTAGGAGATTATTCAAAGGTGAAAGAAATAGTGCTAAGAGAATTCGAACCATCCCCCCAAATTTGTTTAGAAAATTTTAGGAAGACACAATGAATGACGAATGAAACTTATATGCAGTTCATGTCTAGATTAACCACGAGGTGGGAATATTATTTGAAACTGAGAAAGGTAAATGACTTTGAAACATTAAAACAATTAATGGTTTCTGATAAAATATGTCAAACACTTGATAGAGGGGTTATGTGTTTTATAAATGCAAGGCAAGGAAATTCTTGGTTTAAACCTGTAGAATTGGCGAAGGAGATAGATTTATATTATATATCAAAGGAAAAACCTGTAGCGGATAATTCTAGGTTGAGTAATAAAAAACAGTTATCCTAAAAATATGTCAAAGGTTTTTCTAACTGATGTAAAAAATTCGAAATGTATTTTATCATGCAATGAAATTCATCCTTTGTACAAATGCCCTGTTTATAAAAACATGACAGTTAGCAATAGAGTTGGGCTAGTGAAATTGAAACAGCTATGTTTCAACTGTTTAGGAAATCATAAGGTGATTAATTGCAGCAATAAATTCTCTTGCGGTATTTGTAAAAAAAAAAAAAAAAAAAATCACGTGACTCTTCATTTCCCTCATGACTCTTTATTTCCCTCGCGAACAAAAAATAAACAAAGTCATTGCTCAGGTGGTGAGTCATGAAAATAAAAATATTCCTTCGAATTTGGACGCTTTGCTTCGGCTCCATCATCTGAACCTCTGCAAGCTAAAACGAGTACTGATGAAAATTTATTATCAACAACGTGCAGTCTCATGAATGAATTAAAAGCTGTCTTACTCAGCACTTTTGTTTGTTTAGTTAAAGATGCATCGGGTAACTTTTTAAGGTTAGAGGTTTGTTGGATGTTGGCACTAATTCAAATTTCATGAGCAAAAGGTTAGCAGATTTGCTTCAATTAAAGGGAGAAAAGACTAACATTTCTGTTTTAGGAATAAATAATTTGTCTTTGAATATAAAATCTAGAGTTAGTGCAACTATTTTAAATAGGGACAAGAGTTTCGATTTAAGTTAAAATTTTTTGGTGGTTCCTAAAATGACAGAATACACGCCCTCTAGGCCTCTTGAAATTAATGTTTCCTCTTTCGATAATATCAATTTAGCAGATGAGAAATTTTTTGAGCCATGCCCAATTCAGTTTCTGATAGGTGCAGACATTTCTATGAGCTTTTAAAACCAGGTCAAATTTCCCTTCAGGATTCAAATTTAAGATTACAAAATAGTGTTTTCAGCTATGTTGTAAGTGGGACTCTTCCTGCTAAAGGGAAAAGTAAATTACATTGTGGGCTTATTACAGATAATTTGGAGTTAGAAAGAGCAGTAAGAAAGTTCTGGGAGAGAGTCGAAAACGTAGAAAGAGAGCCTGAGATTTCTAAGAGTAAAGAAGCAGAAATTTGTGAACAGCATTTTCTCAAAAACTATTACAGGACTGAAACTGGAAAATATGTAGTCAAGATACCATTTAAGGAAGATCCAATGTGTTTAGGGAATTCGAAACAAAGCGTGCTTAAGAGGTTGAACTCGTTGTGAACTCATTTAAGAAAGGATGAAAATTACTTATTATTGTACTCTGATTTTCTACAAGAATATAGTGAACTAGGTCACAGGACTGAAGTGAAAGATGAAGCTGAGCAAAAGGGGAAATATTATATTCCACACCTTGGTATATATCGCTCTGAGAAATGTTCGACACCTTTGAGAGTAGTGTTCAATGCTTTGACTGCAACGTCAAAAAATAATTCGCTGAATTCAATTCAGTATAATGGTGGTGTAATTCAAGAGGACTTGCTTTCAATTATGGTACGTTTCCAAAAACATATTTATGCTTTTACAGCGGATATCAGAAAAATGTACCGAATGATATCGCGGCAGCTACAGAGAATTTTGTGGAAAGAGTCAATTAATGGTCCAGTTAAAACTTTTGAGTTAAACGTGGTCACCTATGGCACAGTAAGTGCACCTTTTTTAGCTATGAGAACATTACGTCAGCTTGCTATAGATGAGTTCACAAATTTTCCATTAACAGCTGCAGCTCTACAGAGTGATTTTTACACGTATGATGTTCTAACAGGGTCCAGTTCATTGAGTTCGGCAAAAGAGCTACAGCATGAATTAATTGAGATTTTAAAAAGTACAACTATGACTCTGCACAAATGGCGTAGCAATAATCCGGAGTTTGCAGTTAATGTTGATGATGAATACACATTTCAATGCGCGAATGAAGTGTCAGCCATTGGTGTTTCCTGGAAAGCAGATAAAGATTGTTTTCATATTAAAGTAAAACTAGAAAATGAGCCTAAACTTACTAAAAGGCAAGTTTTGTCAACAATAGCGAGAATCTTTGACCCACTTGGTTTATTGGGTCCTGTGATAGCTAAAGCTAAAATATTTCTTCAGAGACTAATTTGTTTTGAAGCTCAATTGGGACGATCTTGTACCTGATAAAGAAGCCAAAGAATGGCAATGTTTTTTCTCTGAACTAGCACATATATGTAAATTAGAAATTAACAGATGCATTCTTGTCGCAGAAGCAATTGTTATTGAGTTACACGGATTTTGTGATGCCTCTGAGTTAGCTTATGGAGCTGCAGTTTATTGT